CTGTCCTGTTTGGGCCCCTGACACCCCCCCCTCACACACACACTTTGAGGGCACCAGGCCCTGCCCCACTGCAGCTTTTCCTCCCTCACCTTTGGGTGTCCCCAGGGACCGCACCAGCACCGTGGTGCTCAGCTTCCCACACGCCCTGGAGGAAACCGGAGCCACTTAAATTTGGGCTTTTTGTGATTTGAAGGCAACAACATGGGGAGACACTCCATCAGCCCACAGGGGAAGCTAAGGGGCCTGGGCAGGAGCAGCCCCCCATGGCCCCAGGGGGAGGCTGCTTCATGCGAAGCCCCATCATGGCACGCATGGCTTTAGCCAACGTCTCCCACCTCTCACAGGCCGAGGAACCCTCTCGGATGAGCACGCCGGCATCATCTCCGTCCTTGCCCAGCAGGCAGCCAAGCTCAGCTCCGACCCGACCGATATACCCGTGGTGTGCCTGGAGTCGGACAGTGGGTGAGTTTCCAGCCCGGGGGTGCCACTTTTCCCCTCTGTTTGCCTTTTCCCCCAGCCCTGGGGCATTCCCCAGAGTCACATCCGTAGAGCAGCTCTCCTCACCTTGCAGATGTGGAGGAAGCCCCATCTCCGAGGCCATGGCAGGTAGTCATGGCCATGGGCATGTGGAATCATTAGATTAACGGGATCTCAAGAAGCAGGAACTGTAAAAACAGAAGGAAACCTTTCAGGGGTGGTGGTGGTTCCCACAGCTCCGTACTCCTTCCACACTTAGGATCCCCATGGATAATGAAGTCCATGCTGTAGCCAGTCAGTGTGGTAGGCAAAGACTTCTCCAGCACTCTTCAGGGGAGTGGGCAGAAGAGAGACAGCGACCGACAGGTCTAGCGCAGAGCTGGGGGTTGCTGCCACCACTGAATTATACCCGTCCAGTTTCCCACCTGTGTCAGCTCCTCCTCGTCACAGCTGGCTTCTCAACTGCCTCAGCGCTTTTCTCATTCTAGGAATATCATGATCCAGAAGCACGACAGCATCACCGTAGCAGTGCATAAGCTGGCATCCTGACCCTCGGGAACCTGTGCAGCGCTCCGCTTCCACCTCCGGCCCAGCTCCTCCTCACTGGACAACCACTCTCCTCTGCTGCTCCAGCGCAGAACCTGCTTGCGGTACCAAACCTGGGCTGAAGGCTCTCCCTCTCCACTTAACAGCTCCTGTGCAGCTACTGGGGTCTCCAACTCACATTTTAGTACTTGTGCTGCCGAGGATGAAATGTGGGTCACTCGCCACGCTCGTGTAGCGATCGGATACTACAAGGTGTATGTGTGTGCGTGGCCTTATTCATTGGCGCAATCAATAAATGACCTGCAAAAACACGCCTTTGCTTCTTTTCGCTCCAGCTGTGAAAACCGTGCCCATTGCTTTGCCTTGTTTCCAAAGCCAAGTCAGGTAACTTATCCCAATCCCTTCTTCGTTAGCATTTCTCTAGAGAAGAGGAATAGCGCACGAAGGCTTGAATTAATGGAGGCTCCTCTAGTGGAAAAGGTACAAACACTTTCTGAGGGATTTCTCCTAGGAAATGTTTAGCCTCCTCTAGTTAAAAGTTCTGTGCAAGTTACTTGCTTACTATGCCTTGGCTTGAAGTTCAAACCCATACGTGTTGGCCCTGCCTGCGCTGCCTCGTCCCTGTGAACTGTACATGGACGTTGACGACGTCCTCACAAATCCCAGCCTCTCTC